GCACTCAGCAATATTCCATCTATATGACAATGGTTTGTAAATAGTCAAGTCTGGACCAGACAATCCAGTGATGTCATGAGCATCAATTCATGCAAATTGGATATGATGAGATGTATCAACCAAGTCCTGTTAGTCACCCCTTATGATAAGCATAGTGGCCTCTTACGGCAAGAATGGGTTGCTGAAGACCTATTCTACTCCGGATCTTCACAGCACTTCTGCTTTATAAATATGCAATATGTAACCAGTTATATGTATAGATGTATGTAAAAATCTATATATAAACTGACTGGGGATGCTACTACATGTCATATAGACATGGGCACTGTTGCACAAAGTGATCTATTCCTGTGTTAAGGTTATAATGGGAGTTACAATCACCTAAGATTGCTTTGTGCAGCTGTGCCTGTTCATCATTTGATGTCCAGTAACATAAGTGATATATGTGGATAGAATTATCATGAGACAGCCCTAATGTTTATTAGGCAAAGTGCCTGACGAGAGGCTATTATCAATCAAGTTGCTAATCTGCATACTAGGGCTGCAATGAATACACTATGAGGCGAATACGATTTGTATCACGAATATAGTGTAACGAATATGAATATTAATTCACGAATACAATAACAAGTCGGCAGTTGATGTATTATGTTATATTCAATGAAACAAAAGCAACACAAATTGTTTGACATGGTTTGTTAATTATTAACATATTATACATTTAGATACTGCACTTATCCAGGTACTAGTATCTGCTCAAATGCGACAATGACCAGTGACCACAATACTGTCAAATTAAATATTGTAAAAGTGTTGTCTTTGAAGAAATCTATGCATATAATTTATCATCCAAAACTGGCTCCCACAGGAGATATGGCTTGGATGAGATCAAGCGATATCTACACTGTAGATATCGCTGCAATGAAATTACATCACAATGCTTTGCAGATCATTGTGACGTCACTGGTTACCATGACGTCACAATCAAATGACATCACTACTGGCTCTGCTACTGAAGCTGTTTGCAGTACTTTTTACACTGAAGACACTGCTAATTACTGTCTACAAATTGAAAAAGTTGAAAGAATGATGTTGGATGATAAATAAAATCTCACCCTCGTGTCTTTTGATGTCAAATATATCAACACTCGTTGATAAAAGTGGCAAAAAACCTCGGCAAGCCTCGGAATTTTTCCACTTTTATCAACTCATGTTGATATATTTGATATCAAAAGAGGGTGCGATTTTATTAATCATCCAACATCATTCTTTCAACTTTTTCAATTTGTAGACAGTAATTAGCAGTGTCTTCAGTGTAAAAAGTACTGCAAACAGCTTCAGTAGCAGAGCCAGTAGTGATGTCATTTGATTGTGACGTCATGGTAACCAGTGCATCACAATGATCTGCAAAGCATTGTGATGTAATTTCATTGCAGCGATATCTACAGTGTAGATATCGCTTGATCTCATCCAAGCGATATCTCCTGTGGGATCCAGTTTTGGATGATAAACCCCTATTTCAGGTGAGTTGAGGTGAAATTGGGCTTAACGTTGCTTCCAAGATTATTGCACTTATATAGCTACGTGCATGCATGTGTGTGTGTGGCTGCTTTTACTAGACTGGACAAATGCCAATTTTATGGTGCTAGCCCGCTGAGATACCATGCTGCAGCTTAACATATATACCCCACGCAGACACAGTACAGACTCCGAGCCGACCATTCCTTGTTTTTTACCCTTCGTGACAAGTGCCAGACAGGGTAACAACAAGTCCCATCTTTTAGCGTCTTTTGGTATGATGCAGCTGGCAATCAAACCTGGACCTTTTGCTTTCTGGGCGGACACTCTACCACTTGACCACAGAGGCGGTCCATACTTCAGGATTTTATGAAAACTAGGAATCGGCTCACTGTTGTCTGTGTATGGCCAGTGTGGCTGTCAAGTCTTCCGTGTATAGGTGGTTGTGGGCTAAACGTCCTTTCCCAGGCAGTAATTGAGGCTTAAATATTGATTTGGGCATGCTGTGGTCAGTCGGTCAGTAACTGGCCCCGTATATTGAACCAAGTGAGAATTGCCAAACTGAACATGACCTGATAATGGCCATTTCACGCTATGAAAGATGGCAGACTTAGAAGCCAGCTGCTTTAGCTGTCATTATTCTCTTTACATTTTGTTTATGAACCTTCCTAGTGGTTAATAGTTTGATTTCCCTTAGGCCGAAAAATTTTACCAATTTCTATCATACACTTTAAGAATATTTTTCCCACGAGAATAACCATTCAAGATAGTAAGCATATGTTGGGTGTGAATTGTGAGTTAATTGTCTATTGTCTCTGCTAAAGATCGATGTTGTCACTGCAGAAGATGGCATTTCATTATGGGTGTTTTTTAACTTCTATGAGTAGAACAATAGTATGGTGATGATTATTTATAAAAGTCATGCTATTCATTAACAGGCCACAATGGTACAGGTCACAACACACATCCAACACCTTCCTGCACACCAGGATGCGTGTCCTCTAACATATCCTCATCCCTATAGCTTCCTGGTGTTCTACATCAGGTGAAAAAATGAATATTTGATCTTTGTAAGTGTCCCTTCATCATTTCCCATTCAGTCTGAATAGTTCAAACTATAGATTCAAACCTGTGTCAGGTGTAATCAACTGTCCATGAAAGTCAAGTGAGTTTATGTTATTGTGCGTTGTCCATCGTTCGTCTGTCTAGTTACCTGTCCATCCATTGTTCACTTTTGTATTTATGACATATCCTCTGATGCTAAAAAGCGGAAGGTCCGGGGTTCGATCACCGGCCACGTCATACCAAAAAATGTTAAAAGATGGTACTTGTTGTTACCCTGTCTGGCGCTCGGCATTTAGCGGCTAAGACAAGGACTGGTCGGCTCGGAGTCAGTATACTGTGTCTGAGTGGGGTATTCATGTTAAACTGCGGCATGGTATCTCAGTGGGCTAGCACTATAAATCGGCATCAGACCGGACTAGAACAAGCAGCCACACACACGTACATGCACATTGCTATATAAGTTCAATAATCTTGGACGCCATTAAACCCCATTTCACCTCACCTCACCTGATGCTACAAGGCCAATGAAGCTGAAACTATCAATGAACCCAGCTATGGTGTCTCAATAATCTGCTCACCAAATTCTTATGTTCAACATGGCTGCCATAGCGAACTAGTTCCAACAGGCTCCATGTCCATGGATGGCAGGCTATCGGTTTGGCTAATTTGACTAGTGTGCCAGTTAACCCTTGGCTGGTCAAAGCCAAAACAGCCAATGTTTCAGAAGTGGAGGCAAGGTCCAGTGACCTTCAGCACATCAAAGAGTCACTTTCTTGTGACAGACTTTTTGAAAGTGATATGACCCTGTGACCCCAGCAGAGATAACTCCAGATAACATTCTGAGCAATTGAGTTTTTACTCGAGGGTTTCTATTTTTTCATTGGGTAACCAATATTTTTTCACTCATCTATTCATCACTCTATTGGGTTAACATATTATGATTTAAAAAAAATGAAATAATGGTTTTGCTTTAGAAAAAAGGCCTCTTTTAACTGTCCAGTATATCAAGTTGGCCAATACCCTGTATGCTGCAGGATAAAATTTCTGTATTAATGTGGTGGTATTTGGATTGCATTGAAACTTGCAGGCGCTGACAAATAATTGCAAAAAAACCACCATGTTTGAAAATGTTCTGCTCTGCAACCAGGACCACGCCGACTGCATTATTTTTTTTTATACTAATAATCTAAAACGAAATAACAAAACAAAAGAAATTTCATTTTGTCTGTTCTTTTGAATGTTACTGGTAACATCGTAAGCCCATAACAAACTGCGGCTCATAAATAGTGTTTCACCATCTTTTAAAAAATATGCCATGGATATTTTGTTTTCCATTCTGTGATTGTTCGTTTACTGACGCCGGTGTATCGTATTCTTCTTTCCATGCACAGTGTCAATAACTTCTGTCAAAATAGCATTTCACCAACCTGTCAGAGATCGGACATGTGGAGATAACCTCATCCAAAATAAATTCCACATTTGATGGGCTTCACGTTTTGCTACAATTACTGTCATGTAAGCAAACAACATATTTTTGTGTGTCATTTGCTGCACCAATTATCTCCCCCCCCCGGTGCATGGAACCCGCCATCTCCCCTCAACATGGGTGGTTGTTAACAGGAATTTTTTTCAAGCTTGTAGCAGCGATGTATTTGTGATCATCAAAATGATCAGAAGCGCTATAGCGTAGCATACTCTGCAGCAGCGTACATGATGGTTCTAAATATAGGCTTGACTGGGAAAGTAAATTAGCTAGCAGTTGTCTTTTGTTAATTAGCTCCATTGTACACATGCTGAAAAAGCTTCATTGGGCTTGCTGTTTTTTATACATTTGAATTTTTCATTTAATGGATGCGTTTCTCTACGCAAGTGACTTGAAAGTGATAGGGTTTTGAATATATTTTGGAGGGAGGGGTATTTTACGCAAATACATAGCCTGTCTGTAGCTCTGTGACACTGACCAGTGGAAAAGGTGTTGCACTTTTACCATGCTCATGAATATGGTTTTGTTCTCTGATACTGTTTGATGACGGTGGCATGCAGGTTCCTCCACTAGTCAGATGTGTAACCTGTGAAGATCCGGGTGAGATGGTCTTCAGCAACCCATGCTTGTCATAAGAGGCGAATAATGGGATCAGGTCGTCAGGCTCACTGACTTGGTTGATGCATGTCATCGTATCCCAACTGCGTAGATTGATGTGCATGATCACACTGATGACACTGTCTGTGAGTGGTGTCAAGGACATGCTGTCTCCTGATGACACTGTCTGTGAGTTGTGTCAAGGATATGTTGGATCACTGGATTGTCTGGTCCTGACTCAATTATGTACAGACCATATCGCTGAAACATTGCTGAGTGCGGTATTTAACAACAAACAAACAGACAAATGTTTAAAGACTCGTTCTGTATGTTCCAGTGTGGTTCCGGACAGTGCAGGCCACACTACTGCTGGGATGTGTGGGGTCCCTCCTCGGGGTCGTCATGTCCTTCCTCTACCACATCCGATTCTTCGAGTCTCACAGCGGATTCAAGTCTCTCACCATCGTCAACATCATGACACGTGAGTATCTTACAGGTTCCTTCTTACAAAACAGATTCTGCTGTCTTTCACGATACATGTGAACCGCCACAGGGTTTAGTGGTAGAGAGTCCGCAAGGAGAGCGGAAGGTTGGGGTTTCGATCCCCGGCCGCGTCATACCAAAAGACGTTAAAAGATGGTGCTTGTTGTTATGGGGCTGAAACATGGACTGGTCGACTCCCTGAGTCAGTATACTGTGTCTGAGTGGGTTATTCATGTTAAACTGGACAATGTACCTCAGTGGGCTAGCACTATAAAATTGGCATTAGTCATGAAAAGTTCAAGCAGCCACACGCACACACGTGCATGCAATTCGCTATATAAGTGCAATAATCTTGAACGCGACAACTCCTTTTCACCTTTCCTATGCATGTGAATGAGTGAGTGAGTATGTTTTTATGCAGCTTTTACCAATATTACAGCAATATCGCAGCGGGGAACACCAGAAATGGGCTTCACACACTGTACCCATGTGGGGAATTTGACCTGGGTCTTTGGCATGATGAGCGAAAGCTTTAGCCACAAGACTACCTCACCACCCCACATGTAGATTCTGGTGGAGGGGGTATGAGAAGTGTTAAAGAAAGGCTAATATGTGACATCATAAGGCAGTGTTAAGGACTCCAGAGCTGGATTATTGCTGACTGCTGATTATCACCTTGCTGTAGGGTGATATTTAGAGGTTATTATATGGCAGTCTTCATATCATACCCCATGACGGGGAATATGGAAGTTAAGGGTTTATATGGGGTACCATAACATCAAATTGTAAAATGTATCTATTTGCAAAGGAATTCAATAGAATTGTTTGGAAGACATTATCACGGGAAAGCTAGCTGAGCAGATGACACACCAAGGGACGTAACTCAAATTTCTTATAACCAGGGCTTAAATCGATTCCCCCCTAACATGCATTGACAAGCCATAGGAGCCCTGTAGGGTTTAATACAGGTTTAGTTATTACACCCCCTATGATATAACCATCTCTATGTTAGCTCTATCGCACATACAAAATGCTTCATATTATTGATGGGTATATGATAATCATTGATTATCACCCTGCCTTAGGGCAAAGCCTGAGTAACGGCTAGTGTTATACATCATCCAGTAATAAGTAATGATTTTTCATGTGAAAATACATGTATTAACAGTATTAACCAATGCGTTTTAAACAGTTGCCTACTGACTGACGTTTAATGATACCTAACTACACTACTAGTTTCTTGTTGTGTCTAAACTTTCACACGTATCTGTTTTCAATGTTTGTAATCTGGCGAGTCCAACACTGGACTTCGGAGAAATCTAAAGGCTCGTGGCTGAAGCCCTTTTCCAGTTGGAAAATTTCAGAAAGGATTATATTTTGGAAAGTTTAATACATCATAATTTTATAATTTAGACTGTAGCATTCGGTTAATGCCCCAGAGTTTAAAGAATAACACACTAAGAAAACAACAGCAATGTCATTCATGTTGTTTGCAAGGGCGGATCCAGCATTTTTGAAGGGGAGGTGTCCAAAATATCAATATCGTCAATTTTACTGCCCACAACATGCTAAAGTGGTTTTCAAAAGAGGGGTGGTGGGCCTTGACCCCTTGGATCCCCCTCTGGATCAGTCTATGTACGTTATGTTGTTTATACTGCAAACCTCCACCACAGGGTCAGTGAATCTGGTCGTCATGGCTTCAGTGGTAACTATTTGTCCTTGTGACCTGACCTGTCCACTGATTAGTGTGGTCAGATACCACACCTTGGCAAGGAGCCATAATCATGACCATAAGTTTGAATGGTCACATGCCACAACAACCATATGAAAGGAGGCCTGGGTCAGTGTATTTCCATGCCAAGAGAAATGGGTTTTAGGAATTCATAAGCAACAGTGCTGACTCATGGTTGAGAAAGTGATAGAAGCATTACAACTAACATATGTCACTGTTAGAGTATTATGAGATCCCCCACTCTACATAGAGTTAGACTGATAAATGTTAATGAATGTTGTATCTAAAGTGGGACTTCTTAAACGGGGGAGCACCGGTGGCCCTGTCGTCTAAGGCGTTGCAATTCACTGTGCAGAGTTGTGTCCCTTGGGCCACCAGAAACCTATGAATCCAGGTTTGCCCCTATTATGTTTCTAGGTTTGTCAACACCATATCCGTGCTCGTAAGTGGTAAACTTAGGGTTTTCCTCCCTTATAAAACTGATATGTTGTGATATACCTTTAAAACATGTTTTTATTAAATGATGTATGAATAATTCATCCTTTTTATTCCATACACATCCTTAGTCCTTTGGGATGATGTATATGTGTCTGTTGCTCTACATCACGTAATGTTGTAAGGTCCGTCTTGGAATGACCGCCAAATCAGGACACTGCTGTCACACTTATGGTTTGGTGATCTATGCAGTGTTGGTTTCGTCTGAGGGTCTACAACTGTTTATTTCAACTATGGCACTGACATGTTCAGGACAAGTCTAAACTAGACGAAAAGTGCCCAGGTCTGTTATCCTCAGCTTCTGCTGCAGAGTTGTCTTTCCCTTGTGTCCTTGAAGCTGTTGACCAAGATATGATCTCCAGATGTGGAGAGCTTGACCAGTGTCTCCCTTTCTTCAGAGTGTTAAATTATTGACCAGGATTTATCTCCAGGGCCCTGTTCCACAAAGCGATCTAAGCGCTTTGAATGTCATAAGTCATTGTTAACTTATATAAGTTTTCATCATCTTAGCGCTATAACTGTTATAAGTCAGTGTTAAAGTATGGGAGTAATTATCATCTTAGTACTATGACTGTTATAAGTCAGTGTTAAAGTATGGGAGTAATTATCATCTTAGTACTATGACTGTTATAAGTCAGTGTTAAAGTATGGGAGTAATTATCATCTTAGTACTATGACTGTTATAAGTCAGTGTTAAAGTATGGAAGTTATTATCGTCTTAGTGCTATGACTGTTATAAGTCAGTGTTAAAGTATGGGAGTAATTATCATCTTAGTACTATGACTGTTATAAGTCAGTGTTAAAGTATGGGAGTAATTATCATCTTAGTACTATGACTGTTATAAGTCAGTGTTAAAGTATGGGAGTAATTATCGTCTTAGTGCTATGACTGTTATAAGTCAGTGTTAAAGTATGGGAGTAATTATCGTCTTAGTGCTATGACTGTTATAAGTCAGTGTTAAAGTATGGGAGTAATTATCATCTTAGTACTATGACTGTTATAAGTCAGTGTTAAAGTATGGGAGTAATTATCATCTGAGTACTATGACTGTTATAAGTCAGTGTTAAAGTATGGGAGTAATTATCGTCTTAGTGCTATGACTGTTATAAGTCAGTGTTAAAGTATGGGAGTAATTATCGTCTTCGTGCCTAAAACTATTGATTAGATGTAATCTCAAGATATCAAGTGTTTGTCTGATGTCACCCTTGGTTCAAAGAGTTAACGTTGATTCCTGACCAGTAGTAGACTAGTCATATACTATTGGACACACCACTGGCTGTAACGCCTTATAGTGACGTGTTGTCAACACAGCTGTGCCGCTGTCCTATCTGCAGGTATGATTTAGTAGGATATATGTGTCCGTCAATCAGTGTTTTATTAGTTGGGGGAGCAATCTGGCATTGATATTGGGGGAGCAATCTATCTCTCATACAGCCTTGAAATTTCCCACCTGTAATGAATGTGGCTGCCATGTTGGCGAAGTTTAACCTATCGGGTGACAGCAGCAGTTTGCTGTAGTAATAAGATGACATGCCTGAACCAAGTCACCGAACCTGACCACAACGTCCATGTTACCACCATGAAAGAGATTAGCATAGGTTCTTGCGATTTAGGTCTACCCCCGGGTAACCCAGAATCTGCATGTGCGTACACTGGAGGACCGTATGGACAACACACTCCTCGTCCATCAGTTTACAAAATGCAAGACATTTTTGTTATGCCATTCAGTTTTGAAGACTTTCCACATGGTTGGTTGGTGTTGGTTGGTTGGTGTTGGTTGGTTGGTGTGTTGTTTAAAGCCGTACTCAGCAATATTCCAGCTATATAACGGCGGTCTGTAAATAATCGAATCTGGACCAGACAATCCAGTGATTAATATCATGAGCATCGATCCACGCAATTGGAATCGATGACATGCATCAACCAAGTCAGCGAGCCTGACCACCCAATCCCATTAGTCACCTTTTACGACAAGCATCGTCGCCTTTTACGGCAAGCATGGGTTGCTGAAGACCTATTCTACTCCGGATCTTCACGGGTCTTCCACATGGTAATGTCTTCATGTGTATGATTTCTGATTTGGGTTTTTTACGGAAGTTTGAACTGTTAACATGGACCCTGCTGGTGAGGTATTCCACAGGGGGTGAAGCTGACAGGTCTGATTGTGAGGTTGGGTGCCACCCACTCATAGAGCATCAACTTGATGGTTAGAATTGGACTTCAGCAACCCATGCTTGTCTTAGAGGTGACTAAAGGGATCGGGTTGTCAGGCTCACTGACTTCGTTGATGCATGTCATCGTATTCCAGTCGTGTAGATCGATGTTCATGGTGTCAATTGCTGGATTGTGTGGTCAATACTCGATTATTTACAGACCACCATCATATAGCTGAGTGCGGTGTTAAACAACAAACAAATAAAGAAACTGCTAGGTGGAACCCTTGAACAACTGGGGCAGCTTCATTGAATAGTGGGGTGGTCAGGTAGCCTGGTGGTTAAAGCGTTTGCTCGTCATGCCGAAGACTCAGGTTCGATTCCCAACATGGGTACATTGTGTGAAGCCCATTTCTGGGGTCCCCCCGCCGTGATATTGCTGGAATATTGCTAAAAGCGGCGTAAAACCATACTCACTTTCTCATTGTATAGTGACTGAAGCACCAGTAAAATATGTTTTATTTTATCAGTTGAACTCCGATAAGCGAAATTCCGAAAATTACTATGTTATGTCTGTTTATTTTATGGTGAATATGTTTTGCTATTCAGTCATATTCAAAAAGGTTCATTAACATGGTTAAACCAAGAGCATTAGGAGAATGTTCTGACCAGGATGCCTCGAAGAAATCAACTTGCGAGATGCGTAACTTTGGCCAGTATCCTACACATCCACCTACATACACACACAAACACACACAAACAAATTAAACAATTAATAAGCCAAATATCTTTTATTTCCAGTGTCCATTGAGCTTGTGGCTGTTGTGCTATTCGGCCTGGACAGCGAGGACATGTTTGGCCTCGATGGTCACACAGTCACCCTTGATTGGTCATTCCACGTTGCCATTGTTGCCCTCTGCTTCATATTCCTCTCCATCATCTTTCACGCCATGGAGGCGAGCCGTGCCGCAGACCTCATCCGCAACATGCAACATCGCCTGACAGTCTGGACCACACCCTACACCCTGTTTGTAGACCAGGACCAAGCTTAATGATACATATGGTTGTGTTTAGTGGATTTCGACTTAATGATATAATTGTATATACAGGTTTACCATACTGTTTACGGTTAACTTCTACTAACAATGCAAAACTCATCTGCAATACATTCGGGTCGTGGTTGATAGGAGTATTTACCATTTGGTAAACTTGTGCGACAGTGTTTAAGTGGGTAGGGTGTATTTACAATAGTGAGAAAGCTATTTTAATTCACATCTCATATTCACTTTGGTAGTGGGTTCACTTTGTAAATATGTCAGTTGTCAATTTGGAAACATATATCAAACCATTCACATTGTTTCAATTAAACTGACTCATTAATTCTTCATGGAATAATTATATCCTGGAGGGAGATAATGTAGGTCATTATTCCTGAAGTGGTAATAATTTTGAAAGATGATAATTTTAACAGAAATTGCCATTACCTACCAATCAGTATTGAAGGATATTTTTCTCATATTTGTGTTTATGATAAGAAATCGTTGTCGGCTTGTGATGAGTCAGAATTGATAATTAACGTTAACAGGTTTATTGCACTGCAGACTTAATTGGCAGTGTGAGAACATTATGACTGCATATATATGTTATAGCTATATACTAGACTTGGGCAAGTATGTTGTCCTAGCAACTTTAATGAAGTGAATCAAAATCCACTTTTGTCTTTGTGTAGACAAACATCTTGTGATGTGTATCAATCTATCTATTAAGGATTGTGTTGTTTCAAAAACTTCCAGATGAAATTACCGAAGAAATAGAATAGAAACACAATAGAATATCATTTAAGGTGTATCACTGGCTCTCATGAGGGTCCATTAATGTTTTTTTCTCAACAGATAAGCTTCTTTGAGAGGAATTAGAAGTTGGAGTACTAAGTAAGGATAAGATATATGGATTAACATTTGTAATAAAGAAGTTGTTCATCCATATATCTTATCCTTACTTAACAGAAAAGCTGCATGTGTTGATTAAACACATATATATTCTTATTAATATGTGATAATATGTCTACAAGCATTTATCTCAAGTGCCTAACTATGTTTCAGTATTTCAGTATTTTATGGATTCCTCTAACAAAACTCAAACAGTTTTACAAGAATATTTAACACAAGTTAAAGTAATGGCATTATATAATGACATATGGACTATGTATTGGCTGATATAGTGGTCACCTGTATCACATGGTCATATGGGAGGATTTTCATCCTCTTTCAAATTTTGTAAAATCCTTCCATCAGTGTATGAAATATTTGGTGCTTCGTAACTGTGGTAACAACAGTCAACTCGTTCATGAAGCAGGAGTAATCTCCCTTAGAATGGAATGTTTACCCCTAGGATTTTATAAGTGCTTCTCCGTGTATTCTCTCCAGCTCAATTCTGTAGTTTTAAGACAAGCCCAACATTCATACATAGGACTTATTGTTTTTAATGTTTCTATACACGTTTTCGTGTTGTCTTCTACATTGTTTAACTGCACAAACATCAAAGGCAGTTGAAATGTTATTTATTTAAAACATTTTGAGATATGAGTAAATTCATGTTTGTTTGGTATTTCTAAAGTTGTTATATTGTGATCCTACACCTGTGACATTGTTGACATATACTTCCACCTGGACATCATTATTCAAATGGACATTATATCTCATGTTTTTACATACTAACACTATTGCCTGTCTTCCTGCATTTACAACTTCATCAATTTTAATCTGTGGATTGAATCTGTTTTCTGAAATGATTCTCAATAATCTGATAATGTAGTCTGATATTAGCCCATGAGAGTTGTATTGTATTTTCTTGTTTCAAGGGTATTGTTACGACCAAAGAAAGTCCTTTGAGATGGTACTAGGCTTCCTGTATCCTGTCCAGCATTACATGACTTCAGACAGTGCAAATATCAACTCTGTATATACCTGTACATATATATGCTTTGTTGGGGTATCTTTTGTGGAATCATGATATTTTTCTTCCTGCAAATCATATTTTCATGCAAATTAGTCCAGGACATTTGTTATGTATATTCTTTGCATGGTTGTAATCAGATCCACTTTCTAAAGTCTAAAGACTGACAAGTGGAGCAATAGCTCTGGCCTTAATAATCAGCAGCCATGGCTTACCTACAACAGACCCAAATTCAGGTTGTATATAATAATATGATTATGAAGTAATTATCAAAACACATAGTAAAATGTTTGACAAACCAAAATCAAAATGAATGTTTGCCCTAGGTTTGTCAGCTCCAGTCCTGTCACCAAAGTGGTAATGCCTGAGATGACTCTGGGCTCTTCTCCCCCATCAAGCAGACATACCGTGATATTACTGAAATACTGTTTAATAGGGTATTAAACCAGACCAACCCACTCGCCCAACTAATACATAGGAGACACAGCATTCTTGGCTGGAAATGGAAAATTGCTAATTTCAGTCAATTAGGTATATGAAAACTGTAAATACTGAATGCCAATCAAAGACTTTCAGCAGGCATATGGCTGTAATACTGATGATGAGGTCATAATTTGTGGATAAAAACAGATCTGATAAAATGTTTATTTAGTTCGATGTAGTCAGTGTATGAGCAAATGTTTACATTGATATGTTGCATCATCCTCTCTGTCTCCAGGGGCGGTCGGGTAGCCTAGTGGTTAAAGCGTTCGCTCGTCAGGCCGAAGACCCGGGTTCGATTCCTGACATGGGTACATTGTGTGAAGCCCATTTCTGGTGTCCCCCGCCGTGATATTGCTGGAATATTGCTAAAAGCGGCGTAAAACCATACTCACTCACTCACTCACTCTCTGTCTCCAGGGCTCGCATTGCGGCAAACCTACACTAACTCCTGGATCCATTCCTCGCACCTCAAATTACCCGCCCTTGATTTTCATTGTCATCATCATCCAATTTGATTCGCTATGTTACTAAGTCTAACGAGCCAATCAGAATGTGAGGTACAAACCAACGTCAATTTTGGATTTGCGATATTAACGCCATGGTGGCCAGTCCCATTAATTACAATTGAGTTTGTGAGTGATTCAACATTAAAAAACAGACTTGACAGCATAACAATGCCGTAAACAATTGTTTTGATGGAAAGAATGTCTTGCATAGGCAAGTCCCTTACCTATTTCCTTTTTCCTTATCAGGACGTTTGATTGGTCGGTAAAACATTCATGAAAATCAAGGGCAAGTAATTTGAAGTCACAAGAACCAGAGGACTGGATCAAGGGTGTTGTGTAGGTTTACTAAAATGCGAGCCCTGGAGATCTGGAGGTTGACATTAAATGAGCTGTTCCTCACTGCAGTCACAACACAGTAATCTTCCCGAGGCAAGGGAGTTAACTGACTATAAAGTCTGGTTTCCACCCCTGCCGAATAGGCTGGCATTATGGAGCATATTGGCACTAACGAGTCTATGCATAGTCCAATCAAAATCACATAATGAAATTGACATCCCGTTTGTAAACTGCCATACAGATTTTGGTCACTTGCAGGATTTGCAGAGCATGTGTACCGCCAACTTGGCTTCAACTGATAAATCATTTCATATTATTAATCAAGGTCCTCATGTGATTTGATGTGCTTTTCGAAATAAGACCTGTTTTATTACAATATACATTTTGATTATCGATGTTTAATTGCAGGAGTTACGACAGGGTAACACTGTCCATGTTAAATTGCAGGAGTAGAATTACCTTGTGACCGTTGATGTGCAAGTTGCAGCTTGTTGCTGGCTTCTCTAGAAGGGACTTGCTTCCTGCTTCAGCTGATCCTCTAGCAATAATGCAGACATCTTATTAACAGCTGTGAATTTGTTTTCTTCAGTAATGTTTTTATCTGCTGCTTCAGATACCATTGTATTTGAGGAGAGTACCATGAGAATTTCATTGTCATTTGAATTTCCTAATAAAACTGTTAAGAATTCAATGTGTCTATTTATATTTTCATTACAGGTATCCATGAAATGATGCAGATATGTCGCACTGACTGTTAAGATACACAAGGGCATCTCAAACACAGTAACACCACACAATAACAGGCATCTCACACAGTAACAGGCATCCAACACAATAACAGGCATCTCACACAATAACAGCCATCACACACACAATAACAATCATATCAGACAATAACAGGCATCTCACACACAGTAACAATCATATCAGACAATAACAGCCATCTCACACACAGTAACAACCATCTCATGCACAATACAGGCATCTCACACACAGTAACAACCATCTCACACAATAACAGCCATCTCACACACACAATACAGGCATCTCACACACAGTAACAATCATATCAGACAATAACAGCCATCTCACACTAAGTAACAACCATCTCACACACAGTAACAACCATCTCACACACAAAAACAGGGTGCCGCCTCCATGGTCTTGTGGTAGAGCGTCCGCCCGGAGAAGGGAAGGTCCGGGTTTCGATCCCCAGCTGCGTCATACCAAAAGACGTTTAAAGATGGTACTTGTTGTTACCCTGTCTGGCGCTCGACATTAAGGGGCTAAAACAAGGACTGGTCGGCTCGGAGTCAGTATACTGTGTCTGAGTGGGGTATTCATGTTAAACTGCGGCATGGTATCTCAGTGAGCTAGCACTATAAAACGGCATCAGTCCAGACTAGTACAAGCAGCCACACACACACACGTGCATGCACGTCGCTATATAAGTGCAATAATCTTGGACGCGACGTTAAACCCAATTTCACCTCACCTCACAATAACAGGCATCTCTGCACACAGTAACAACCATCTCACACACAATAACAGGCATCTCACACAATAACAGACATCTCACACACAGTAACAATCATATCAGACAATAACAGCCATCACACACACAATAACAGGCTTCTTACACACAGTAACAACCATCTCACACAGTAACAGGCATCTCACACACAATAACAGGCATCTCACACACACAACAGGCATCTCACACAGTAACAGGCATCTCACACACTGTATCAGGCATCTCAAGCAATAACAGGCGTCTCACACATTAACAACCATCTCACACAATAACAGGCATCTCACACTGTAACAGGCATCTCACGCAATAACAGGCGTCTCACACAGTAACAACCATCTCACACAATAACAGGCATCTCACACACAATAACAGGCATCTCACACACAATAACAGGCATCTCACACAATAACAAGCATCTCACACACAGTAACAACCATCTCACACAATAACAACCATCTCACACAATAACAGCCATCTCATACACAACAGCCATCTCACACACAATAACAGGCATCTCACACACAGTAACAACTATCTCATACAATAACAGGCATCTCACACACTGTAACAACCATCTCACACAATAACAGCCATCTCACACACAATAACAGCCATCTCACACACAGTAACAACTATCTCACACACAGTAACAACTATCTCACACAATAACAGGCATCTCACACACAGTACTTAACAACTATCTCACACAATAACAGGCATCTCACACACGAATAACAGGCATCTCACACACAGTAACAGCCATCTAACACACAATAACAGGCATCTCATACAATAACAGGCATCTCACACACAGTAACAACCATCTCACACACAGTAACAGCCATCTCACACACAATAACAGCCATCTCACACACAGTAACAGACATCTCACACACAATAACAGACATCTCACACACAAGAACAGCCATCTCACACACAGTAACAGCCATCTCACACACAGTAACAGGCATCTCACACACACCTTTGGCTGCAGGGGGATGTCTTTGTGGTTCACTTTGCCTCCACACTGCAGGAGATTAACAGTTTATACGAGCCCAAGGACTGCAAGGGCCATGTCACGTATTGCTGCGTTACCTATTCTAAACAATAGGATGTTGCAAAATGAGGAGACCCCCCTTCTAGCCTTACAGTCGTGTAAGGCGCCGAATGTTCGCTGCAGAGTTGCGTCCCTTGTGCACGCTATAGAAACATATGATCGTGTCCCGTGTCTTTAGGTTTGTCAGCACCATACCCGTGCTCATGGGTTTCACCAAAGCTTTAAACGTCTGTGACCTGCGTCACTTCAGGCTCCCCCCCCCCCCCGGCTTGTAAGGATCGGTGACTTGGTTGCGTGTGATCGTATCCGAACGGCGGGGATCGATGGTCACAATTTCAATCACTGGATTGTCGTGCTTGATTCCATTATTTGCGTTAAACAACAAAGAAACAAGCACCAACATGATCCGCGTCACTCACCGGCATCTGGTGAATTCCTGCCACATTATGCTGACACCTCAGGACATCATCGAACTCACACTCACTTACAGGAATTTTGGGTTAGAATTGGTCAACAGCAACTTCAGCTTGTCGTAAGAGCGACCAAATAGATCGGTCGATCGATCCCAATTGCGTGGATCGATGCTCATGATATTAATCACTGGATTGTCTGGTCCAGACTCGATTACTTACAGACCGCCGTCATAAAGCTGGACTATTGCTGAGTGCGGCGTTAAACAACAAACAAACAAACACTCACTAATTTAACATCTGAATCTACCTCCCAAAATGCAGAAATCCCACAGCCGTGGTATAACCTTGTAGTATACCGATCTAAAGAGATTTACCCCGGGGAACGGTTCGTTAGTTTAACCCTACTTATGGCCGTGTTAATCTGCTAAACCGCATTAGTTACCACCTAGGATCCGATCTCAGTAACAATGGACACCGTTGTCATGATGACTAAAGCCATATCTAATAGCTGAGAGGCAGGCAACACTTGCCACTGGTTCGGGGTCCTTGCCGAGACCACACGTCAATTGGGTGCATGCTAACCTGTCGTCACGTTGGTCCTCTCATAGACACATCTGAAGACTTTGTCATCGAACACCAACGATCGTGGACAATAGACACTCTTCGTAGTACAGCTCAGTTGTGTGATCTAACCAAATGACTGATTAACATCTTTTCTATTTGTATCGTGTACAGACCGTAACCCAACCTGACCATGACGTCATCAACTCCACTGGCTTGGTCGTCGAGTCGACAGTACTACCACTACAGATCGGTGTTCCCAACGTCAGATACAGGCATGCAGGCCACGCTTCACAGAAACGTTCCAAGAAGAATGCACTCGAGACGAACTGTCGAGAACCCAGCCATCAACATCTTAGCAGGAAAAAAAATTATCGAACGTCAACGTCTTCCAACCAGACTCCCTAAATGCTACCTCCCATACCTATCCCAGTTGGACACAGATGCTGATGAAGTATCCGGGGGTTTGACCAACCGAGATCTACCCACTCTCAGATCACTTCCGGTCCTTCCAGAACGCAGGTTCACGTCTGCTGATGTCAATAGGATCACAACGAGGTTATCAACGTATGACGTCAGCCGTGTGCCAGAGTCACGGGGATTCCCTATGAAGGAAACCGAAATGCCGCGCAGTTCCGGACGGGTATACACGGATACGGAAATACACCAGGTCGTCCAGAGGCTCAGTGATTACAATCCCAAGAAACACCCAGCAGAGTCGAAAGGAGTGCCAGCTGATTCAGATCTCGCACCCTCTCATGGAAAGTCAACGTCGAATGGGAAACAGTTTTCTGATGGCGAGGTCCAGGCTATCGTCACCCGGCTGCACACATTTGATCCAGCAAAATGGCCGCCGGAGTCCAAAGCTCCCACATCGGACTGAAACCCTTGCTGAGAAAGGACATTGTTCTGTCAGTGACTGGAAACGTCTGCCACTTTCGACCAGTGTAATAGTAAGATTCACAAACCTATCTGTTCTGTAGTAAATAACACCGACCACTGCCCCTTTCCTTTGTAAATCACAATATCTCTGATTAAACACCTCGAATGTAAATTTCCAAAACTGTTGTTCTTACATTTGAACGTTTTCATAATAAAATACGTCATGGATCCTTTTCTTCTCGTTAGACAATTAGCCCAAATGTGTGCTTTGAGCCGGATTTCCAAATGGACTAATATTATTATTTGCATCGTTTTTGTGATTTGATGAGAGACCACACACAAATCGACACGGTTTCTTTCCGATTTGATGTACCACATGTGTTTACATAGGTCTTCATCAACCCATGCTTGCCGTAAAAGGCGACTGTGCTTGTCGTAAGAGGCGACCTACGGGTGGTCAGGCTCGCTGACTTTGTTGATGCATGTCATCGTATCCCAACTGCTTTGGTCGATGCTCATAATGTTAATCACTGGATTGTCTGGTCCAGACTCGATTATTTACAGACCGTCGTCATATTGGAACATTGCTGAGTGCGGCGTTAAACAACAAACAAACAAACAACAGCTGAATGCACATTTTCCGCTTGTTGGAACAACCACGTTTAACTTTTATATAATTCTGAAATCAGATTCGTTGTAGAACACTGGTTAGTAACGCCAAACTTGATCCTTTATTACTTCACTTAGCTGTACGCAATCCATACATGTAGGTCTAAAATAGATCGCAACAGACGCCTGTGTGAGTCAGTCATACAATTGTGGAAATGGAGATGTCAAGAATATGTGTAAAGGTTATGTGCGTTGTAATACCGCGACACACCTTACGTCACTATTAGGATCCGACCATTTGATATTCTCAGTGTGCGTGCGTGCGTGTGTGTGTGTTGACCAAAAGATGCAAGAAGTTAAAATAAAAAGGCTTAGGTTTAATTAAAATAATATCTGGTTTTGCAGTAGTAGCTGTAATAAATATCAAGACCTCACACAGAATCACTTCCCCCTATTATTAAATGGTCGGTCTCTTAGTGGTGCGCGTTAATGGGTGACAGTGACAAAATACACCAAAGCATTCCTGGCCAATACATGTCTCAGTTCACCTCAGAACAGTTCTCTGCGGCAATTGTAGTTCAGACATTATGCAGCACAGTCATTAAACGGTAGTGAAATACTAGCATCATATTTTTGATAGTATTGTTAATACGAGAGTTGGGGAATCAGCTCGCTTGGCAGAGGTACCGCTATACACGACAAACCCACACAACAACACACGACCTGAGTGAATAAACAGTCAGTTTATTACACAGCCATAGAATCCATTCTATATATAATCAGTCAACACAAGAATGTTTACAATCAATTATTAGAGAAGATTTACAATCAGTTATAGAAGTACATATATGAGAAGAACATTACATGAACATGATATAGAATCATTACACAAGATAAATACATGTACAACATTAGTCACGATACTTATTCCAAGGTACACAATGTAATACAACAGTTTACATATGATTGAATATAGTTTACCCGACAAACTCTAGCTAATACATAACCCGAGTGGGCAATCATACAAGATGCACATCAGTACCATACTCGTGCTCGTGGGTTTCACCGAAGTGGTAAACGTCTGAGACCTGCATCACTTCGGGCTTTCCTCCAACATTAAGCTGACACGCCGCGGTGTAACTGGAATACTGTTAAAAGCGGCGTTAAACCCAACTCACTCACACACAAGAAGCATTCAGTTCAGCCACAATACATATTCCAAAAGGTAAACAACGTAATAAAGTTAACACAATTGTCATAATTTATACACAGAAGTATACGATAATATCTAAGATATACATTCAAGTATGACACTTACAGTAACCAACTTGCAGGTATTGCCAAGGGTAATAGCATATAGTTAAGAATTAACATAGTACAAGATAGTAAGGTTTCTTACCTGAGTGAATAAACAGTCAGTTTATTAGACAGCCACAGAGTGATTTGTGACTGTCTGGCGTCCGTATTTATACCTATTCTTGCTACTACAGATAATCTCAATTACTGAATAAAGTTGTTATTGCGAACTTTAGTGGCGCTCTCTAGACAGAATTCTATAATTTAGTTGATGATAAAGGTGTTTCTGAGTGAAGTTTAGTAAGAATAATAGCTTACTAGTTCCTAGCATGCCACGAATGGGTGCTCTGTCTTTACTGAGATGATTTCATAACTGATATCTGTGTTATGGTAAGAATCTCTTGTAAGGCCTGTTCCAACGAATTGTGGGGGCACGGGGGGGCCAGGCGTCTAAGGCGCCGCGATTCGCTGTGCAAAGTTGCGTCCCTTGGGCACGCCAGAAACCTATGATTGTGGGTTTGAATCCCGGTTCGCCCCGATTATGTTTCTAGGTTTGTCAGCACCATACCCGTGGTCGTGGGTTTCGGTAGTAAAGTGGTAAACGTCTGAGACCTGCATCATTTCGGGCTTTCTTCCGAGATGAAGCTGATATGCCGCGATATAACTGTAATGCTGTTAAAAGCGGCGTTAAACCGAACTCACACACTCACTCACTCTGCCAAAGAGGCCGGTGGGATGACATATTGGTTGAAGAGTTCAGTCCTCACACCAAAGACAATGCTAGAAGCCCATGCTAGGTCTCCTCTGACGTGTTAGGGCTGGAATATTGCTTCACGTGGCACAAAACAAGACTTACTCTACTGTAATGTATACATAGAAGAATTTTCATTCAATGAGCTACGGATTTTTAGGCACATCTTTTAGTATCGTTCAACAGAGTTAACTCCCTTTCCCTGGCATGCTCAGACACACTGTCACGTAAATCGACAAAGGGATTCATTTTAGCATTTTGATAGAGGGAATTAGCATAAATGTAGCACACGTTGATACGAGTAAATGATCTTATTCAACTTACATGCATTTGCCGCCGAGCGGAATAGTATGAACAGATTGTGCACAATGGTGTTCGGTATTTATTTCCTTACACAGTACTTACCTCCCTTTTGATTGATTATGCGTTCCTATTCATGTGGTTATTAATAATGTATCCGAAAAGTGATAACGTGACAATACAGTACAATGCCTTTCGACGATCAGGAGGAAGGTGATCTCGTAAAGTGATAATGAATAAACAATTAATGAATCAAGATACAGTTTTAAAGTATAATGTATGAACTTCACGGAAGAAAATCAATAAAATCATCTTGACTTAAGGTAAATCTACACGTAATTTTGGTTTTGTGAAATCAGAGACCTTATACCGATATATTGTCTCTGGTGAAATGTATATATACATTGATGCATGCCAATATTCCCTATGAAAATAGTAGAGATGTTGACACGTTGAGCTGTACAGTGTTTTATGTATATATAGCTCAATACACGTAAGAGAATCAGCTGATATATACGTTGATTGCACATGCAGAATAAACCACGTGTGTAGCAATGGGTTTGTATTTACACCGCCAGTGCCGACTCTGTCGACAATGACCACGTTCGAATAAGCGGGTATACACCCGTGCTTGCCGTATTCATGTTGAGGGGTGTTGACAGTAAATATACCGCCCGTGAGCAGCGCTGGGAATGATGAGCGAGGCTGCCGAGCTGATGAGCTCTCCTTGTGGATGCCTCAAGGATGGAGGCTGCAGTAAGTGCCACACAGTCTGCTGCTGGAGTGCACATTAATGATTGGCATCCTCAGCGCGGGCCTGTCTTGCATCCCAGTGGCCCTGGTCATGGATTGAGACGACGCTGTAGCCATCTGCAGATATGAGTTAGAAGTGGTAAAGATCATGCGAGGGCCATACATCGATTATAAACGCTTCATTGTACAGGTAGTGGTTGAAGTGTTGTCACTTGAATCATGTCCTAGCTTCTCCTGCGGTCACGTGGGAGCTCAAGGGATTAAATCGTGAAATTTCTTTCATCCTATCACAATGGCGAATCGACAGATGTATTGAAAAGTAAGACGGTGGATGTCTAAAGTAACTTGTCATATGTTGTGAATAAACGGTCCTATAATTTAGACTAGACAAAAGCCAACACGTGTGGTTCGGAGACTTCTAGTCCTCAATTGGCCCATAACGACTACTGCTACTGGAGGGGTATTTTCAGCAATGGAAGAAGCTATGAATTAGGGGAACATCCTATGCAGAACGGATGCCTTCAGCAGACCATTTAGTCCTACTCATACCGACCAGTCCCGTTTGAATGCTTCTTAACTGCTGCCAACACGCACCGCTGTCCCCAAAGCGATCTGAGCGCTTCGAAAAGCACTTTAACATAGATTTACGTTGGTCGTATCACGAAGCTCTCTAAGCGTTCTTAGCTACGATTGAGCTAGATCTACAGCAAGAGGAAATTATTCGATGACATTGCGTGGTTCCAATGGTCTAGTCTTTATATTCGTTTCGTGGAACCCGACCAAAGTCAATCATGTAAACTCTTAGCCTCGACATTGCTTTTTACGTAATTCCAAACTGTTAAGGTGAAGGTTAACCTTAAGGTCAAGGTCAAGATGATCCTGTTATATAACTCACCATAAGGTGAGTGAACAAATCCTTCACGTTTAGTTCAAATTTAGGAGATTATGGTCAAAACAACATGGCGCCCTGCTCACAAGGGGGAAGATGAACTGAAAACTAGTTTCCCATTTGCTTTCTGCTTCTTAATTGCCAGCGTGACCTTAAACCACATGTGAAATTGAACCCAATGATCACTGTCATAAACAACGACTACTTACGTATTTTATTCAGTACAATTATTTTGGTTAATAGATTGTTCAATATAATGTGATACACAGGTGATGGTAGACGTTCATAGCACGATATATACATGTCAAACATACCTAAGCAGGATGCCAGGCTATTATACAGCATAATCACCGATGTTTATTCATTAAGGCCTTGGGTCGGTTCCCCAATAGGTGAAGTCCAC